TCTGGTAACCCTAGCTTCTGCAGCATCTCTGAAAGCTGGAGAAAAGGAGTAGTGAACAGCCTTGGCATCTGCAGGATCAGCTTTGAGTCAGGGAAGCAAAATTGATGGTATGGGTGACAGATATAAGAGACAAATTGGATATGGGAAAGAGGGACTTGGGGCTTACACAGGACTGGCAATGTTGTCCTTGGGGACAGGCTGATGTGTCTTTGGGAACACAGTATTAATGTTGGTATTTGGGAAGAAGCTGTTCCCTAGTGAAGCTATGCTAGGGAAATTTTCTAAAGTGTTCCCACTGTTGCTAACGCTGGTTCCACTATACCACTTTAGCAGCATGGGTGGGGCTTAATGTAGCTGAGCTGGGACATTTAAAAAACAGTGAACTTAATCCTGCCCTATTCAGGTCAATGGCAGAACTCCAATTGATTTAAATGGATACAGGATTTCCACTTATATCATAACCTTGTTCAGAATAGATCAGCCTGCAAAGGGCTCCCAGTTTTGCTACCACCAGCAGAGTTGAATTTGTATAAGTGACAGTGAGTCAACTTTTGAAAATGTGCCTAATGTGGATAGGGCTTGTGAGGACTTGATCCTTTTTTTGATTATCTGTCTTTTCTCCTTTGGGGGTTCATCTTCCTAGAGTTTACTACTATTTAAATAAAAACAGATCACTTTACTATAATCATTGATTAAAAGTTTTATAAGTGGTGAAATTAACTTTAAATTTCTTATGGGTACTGTTCTATTGCAACCTGGGTCTCTACCAGCTCTTTAACTAGCTCCCTGATGACTTTTGTGCAGCTTAGCCAGCTCATGCTGAAGCTGCGCACCAGGTCATGCCTGCTTACTTTCATCTCTGAGTTTTATTGTGACTGAAATGTTTTGCACACAAAGAGGTTTGTGACAATATTCTTTACATGCTTTTCTTGCTTGGGCTTTTCCTTTCAGCTTGTGGCAATCAGCGTCCAAACACTCCTAGAGAGAACAGGGGATTTGAATCTGAAAAAACGAAACAAGTGAATCAACTGATTGTACTGCAAATCTATTGCATAAGATTTCTTAAGAAAGCCACTGACAAACTGGTGATGTATATTACTGTGAAATGTGCGTATTAACATTTTACAAGGAACTATAGATACTTAGTCATATTATGCATTAAAATTGGTGATCAAGCAATGGAAGAAACAAGTACTCTCTATTTTTGTTTAATTACAGATCATTCTTTCCTAGGTATTTGGATAATGGTCTTGCCCATATGCTCAGGTCTGAGTGCTATGTCTGGAGAATTTCCCCTGAATCCGATTGGCAGAGATGCTGGGTCTTTTTTGCCTTCTTCTGTGGCATGTGTCACTTGCAGGTCTAAACTAGTGTAAATGTGAATTCTCTAACTTGAAATCTTTAAAATATGGTTTGAGCACTTCAGTAACTCAGGTAGAGGTTATGGATCTTTTACAGGAGTGGGTGGGTGAGGTTCTGTAGCCTGCAATGTGCAGGAGGTCAGACCAGATGACAGCAATGATTGCATCTGATTTTGAAGTCTGAGCCTAAAAAACAATGAGGCAGGGACTGCAGGAAGCAAGCCTGCTGACAGGGTGGGGAGCAAAGGGGGCAACTGTCTCAAGGCCCACAGATTCAAAGCACAGCAGTGGCAGCCAGAGCCCTGGGCCCTTTATGTGGGGCTCCAGCAGTGATTTATCATGCTCTGGGCAGCACTGAAAGTTATCTGGGGGATGCTGTTCCCAGCCCACCCCTTCCATCTAATGCCCCCCTTCTGGGTGCCTCCACCTTGCCCAAAGACTTGGCAAGTCTGTTGGCCCCACTGGAAGAGAAAGGACAGTGTGCTGGTTAAGGTGGTTTAATGCTATAATGAAGAAACTGATCCCTGCCTGTACTTTGAATATATAAACTGATATATCATGCTAAGTACTCCAAAAAAAAATCAAGCTGTTGGCATCTCAGATAGAGCGGGCACCTGAAATCCATGGCCAATTTAAAACTTAATCTTTCTGTGTCTTAGTTTCCCATCTGCAAAATTGGAATAATACCTTCCTCTCATTTCAAGATGCAGGTCAACTTTGCACAGGGAAATTTTTGTATGTCAAATAATTCATTTTAGTTAATGTATACATCTAAAACTACTTATTTTTATGTTTCATTAATAGATGTATTTATCTTTTGCCTGTCCAGGTTTATTTTTACCTGTTGCTTCTTACAATTTAGGAAGGAACATCCTCATCCATAGAGTATTCCCATTTAAATATCTTCCTGGGGGTACATCTGTGTTTTCACCTCTTTCAACAGATCAACCTTTTTCTAGAGATCAAAAATATTCTTTGCAGCTAGAAAAATAAAGATTTATTGGTTCATCTTACAGATGCTACCTGTCATTATCTTTTCAAAACACACACACTCACTTTTTCAATGTAAGTACATATCAGTTTCTCATTTGTTATACAAAATATCACTTTAAATGTATTACATTCTATTCATCTTAAACCATTTTGTACATATGTAAATAGTAAAAATCAAATGTATGAGCTAAAGGTGGTAAATAGTAGGAAGTTGTAAAAACAAAATACTAAAATCAGTTGTTTGACTGATAATTCATTAATTATTTGTCTTTGTCATAATGTGAAAGTTGCAACCATTATATTTAAATCAAGCAACATTTTTGTTTCAGATGAATTGCTAAGCCCACAAGGGGGCTGCCCTTTGCTATAACTTCTTGATGTATCAGCACTAATTCAGTGTGCTGAGCTGTCTTGGCATTTTAAAAAAACTATTATTTTGGCATTTTTTCCCCCTTCATAAGAAATATAGGTGCTTATTTCTTTCTCTTTGCTGCAGCTCTGTATAAAATCTTTGGAGAACCTGAACAGTTACACAACATGAGTCTGTAACTTGAACTGAAATCTTCCTATACATACTGTCAAAAAGATGGCATTACAGTGCAAACAATTAAGCATGTGATGAATTTTACTCAAGTATGTAATCATCATCATCTGTTATGTGTTTTCAGAATCAGGCTCTGTGGTCTTGTCTGCACTAACAAAATTTGTTCCTGTATTTAACAGGAACAGTACTAAGCCAATAGAATAGACATGGTTCAAGTGTTTTTACAAGGTTTTCACCAGAGGTGGCAAAAACATCTGAACCATAGCAGTACTAACAATCCCAAGCATTCTAAAATCACAAGAGAGGCTCAAATAAATAATAATTGGTTTTGTTTTCTGATTTCTGACTATTGGTTCACATTTTCCTCACTTTTTTCCTGAAACAATGATAGCTAGAAACTTCTTTTATAAAAAAACCTGAGATTCTCATGTAATTCCATTGCTCAAGATGCAAAGGCTTTAAGAAAAACACCCACATTTTCCATGAATCATGACCTTGCAACTTCCATTAATACTTACATCTTTGCTACTATTGGTTCAAATGAAATGTGGATGACAGCTGCTATAAACAGGACACTAATTATTCTAGTGTGTGTGGGGCTTGTCTACACAAGAAAATAATACTGCTTTAATCATAGTTGAAGTAGGTCCTCTAGTGAAGATGCAGTTCCGGTGGCAAAAAAGATGCTTTAGACTGATGTAGCTATTCATGTTCAGTAGACACTTACTATAAATTATCTTTGCACTAATATAACTACATCAGTTAAAAAAAATCACATCCTAACCAAAATAGCTGAAAAATTTTCAGTGTTTCAGATTTTCAGGCCTAGAAATGAGCTTGCTTCACTGAAGTAAGCAAAATACAGGACTATGTAGCACTTTAAAGACTAACAAGATGGTTTTTTAGATGATGAGCTTTCGTGGGCCAGACCCACTTCCTCAGATCAAATAGTGGAAGAAAATAGTCACAACCATATATACCAAAGGATACAATTAAAAAAAAGGGAACACACATGAAAAGGACAAATCACATTTCAGAACAGAAGGGGGATGGAGGGAAGGGGAGGGGAGGAAGGTAAATGTCTAAGTGGGACTGTTGTAGCTTTGTATGCTATCTTTAATCAGGCCCTCTGATGAGCTTGCTAAAGACTTCCCCCCCAGAGAGCAGAGTGAAAACGGGAAATACCACTCAGAAGGAGATGACAGGGATCACAAAGGAGCAAAAAACCTCAAACACGGTTGCTGTTGGTTCTGCATCCCACTTCACTTTGAATGATATCCAGATCACAAACCGTTTCAGATGTTAGAAATCTGGAATTCAAGTACTAACTTTGGCCCTTCTGAAGATGGCCCGGGGGGAGCTGGAAAGGGCAAGAACTTAGAAAAGGTGATAGTGCTACTGCCTTGGAGGCCAGGCAGAGACAACAAAGAAGCCAGGCTGCAAACCCATAACAGAAGGATGTGGGAAGCAGTAGGGATTGGGACAAGTTGAGGATGTGAACGGCAGTGAGATGAGGGAGCAGGAGGAGCCAGCAGTTGGGTTGGGGAACAGAGAAAGGGCCCCTAGTGGTGGGAGCTTTATTGCAACTCTGTTGCCCTTTCCTTGCCTCACCTCTGAGCGCAGTTTCAGCGAGTGGGAGTGAGCGACAGAGCCCCCAGGGGTCGCTGGTGGGGAAGCAGCAGGCCCCCGGCTTGGTTAGGGGAGGAGGGAGCTGAGAGCAGCAGAACACGGTGGCTGGCGAGGAGCGGGCGAGGAGGCGCAGACAACTTTGCAGCGAGTTGGAGCCGACAGCCCGCGGTGCAAGAGCTGTAACCCGACACCGGCGGGAGGGGAGAGGGCGCGAGAGAGCGGCGGCGGAGCGGAGGAGAGAAGCCCCCCGGGAGCGAGGCGGTAGGATGGTGCCCGCCGCCTCCGCCTAGCCGAACTCCGCGGCGGCGACCAGGGCTCTCGCTCCGAGCCCGGCGCGCCATGGAGAGGGGAGGAGCTCTCCTGAGCTCCCGCTAACTTTCCCCCGAGCGGGCGGAGCGGGGCAGGCGGATGGAGGATGCGCTGTCCCCGGCGGGCTGTGTGACCAAGGGGCGGCGGCGGCGGCGACGGGGACGATGAAGAAGCAGCCGCAGCACAGCAACAGGGGCTGCCCGGAGCCCCGGCCGCATGTGGCCCCTTCAGCTGGAGGGGGTCCCGGGCAGGGGGGTGACTGGAGGAGGCGGCGGCCCCTCTCGCTGCTGCCTTTCCTCTCGCTCCGCGACTACGGCTTCTGCATGGCCGCCTTGCTGCTCTTCTGCCTGGGCTCCCTCTTCTACCAGCTCAACGGAGGACCCCCGCACTTTCTGCTGGACCTGAGGCACTATCTAGGTAAGGGCGGGGGTGAATGGTGAGCGGGGAGCCCCCCCCAGGGCTGGGCAGCTCGCATGCTGACAGGCTCAGGCCAGCCCCGCTCCCCCTGGGGACTTGTTGCGGCTCCCCCTTGGCGGCGGTAGGGACCAGGCAGGATAGGTGCCCTGCTGATCAGCCGGCCAGAGAAGCATCGCGGGGCAGTGCACAGAGAGCCCGGGTTGAGCATGGAGCAAGTGGCCCAGAGCACACGCTGTGCCAGTTGTGTCTCCTCCTCCTCCTCCGTGCTGCGCCCGCCGCTCTCCAGAACCCCGGGATCAGCAATTGGCCCCACCTGGAAAGGCTGGCGGAGTTCAGTGTGTACGGATCCAGGCCCGGCTATTCCCGCAGTTTACAGTAACTTCATTCTTTAGTCCAGGAATAATCGGGCCTGCGAAGGTATTCCTCGCTTTCTCGAGAGTGTCTTGACCCCGGATTTCCTTAGGTTCAAGGACTGCATAGTCTTCTGTAGCTCCGTAATCCCCATTGCTTAATAGTGTTCACTGAGGCTGAATATTTCTTGCAAAGAATGCGAACCTCTCTTGGCTGTGTAGCTAGGGGAACCACGGGGGGTGAGGCTAAGCCTCTGGCTTCCTGAGTTGGGAAGAGGTGAGTCCCTTGAAAAATAGTGCATTTTAGATGCCTGGGTTAATGAGTGGAAGCGAAAGAAGTTTTGTGGAGAATTTGGGAAGTAAATAGGCAGGATTTTATATTCTGAGTTTGTGTAAGAACCAGTGATTTAGTGGTAAATAGGGAAGTGAGTCTACAGTCCCAAATGAGCTCAGTTTACATTATTGGTGAGGAGGGAACAGCCTGCAATGCTTTCTTGAAAATACTCGGGAGTATGTGTATTTAAAAAAGCAGGGAGTAGTGAAAAAGATGATCAGAATGAACTTGCTGAGAAAATTGTGCTTTGGCAAAAGCCTGATGGACAATTTATAAAATTTGAAACAGAATTAAGGCCTGTAATGATCTCTTATCTTGCCTTTTAAAACTGTATGGGAAAAGGGTTTATAAATGTATATCTCTGCTACAGATTTTGATTAGAATTTGGAATTGCAAGTGAAAACTAAAGTTATTGTCCTCAGGGTACAAAATGTTGAAGTTCAAGCATAACAAGTCACATTATTCATATTTGTAGTACAGAAACGAGGCATTAAGTTTTACACTATAGAGGAGACAGGAATGAACAGCTGCCTGAATAACATTTAATATTCTAATCTAGTAGCACCTTAAAGACTAACAAAACATGTAGATGGTATCATGAGCTTTTGTGCACACAACCCAGTTCTTCAGATGACAGGAGTATTAGAAGTCCAGATCCAAGTATAAATAAAGGGGGGGAGGGGAAAAAAGAGAGAGAGTCTCTTCTAATACTCCTGCCATCTGAAGAACTGGTGTTGTGCCCACAAAAGGTCATGATACCATCTACAGGCAGTCCCTGAGTTACGCGGATCCGCCTTACGTCGGATCCGCAGTTATGAACGGAGTCCTCTCCCTGGTCTCCAGCAGACCAGGGAGAGGAAGCAAAGCGGCGGAACACACGGGCAGTGGACAGCCCAGATGCGTCTGGGCTGTCCACTGCCCGTGTGTTCCGCCGCTTTGCTTCCTCTCCCTGGTCTGCTGGAGACCAGGGAGAGGACTCCGTTCATAACTGCGGATCCGACGTAAGGCGGATCCGCGTAACTCAGGGACTGCCTGTAGATGGTATCATGACCTTTTGTGGGCACAACACCAGTTCTTCAGATGGCAGGAGTATTAGAAGAGACTCTCTCTCTTTTTTCCCCTCCCCCCCTTTATTTATACTTGGATCTGGACTTCTAATACTCCTGTCATCTGAAGAACTGGGTTGTGTGCACAAAAGCTCATGATACCATCTACATGTTTTGTTAGTCTTTAAGGTGCTACTAGATTAGAATATTAAATGTTATTCAGGCAGCTGTTCATTCCTGTCTCCTCTATAGTGTAAAACTTAATGCCTCGTTTCTGTACTACAAATATGAATAATGTGACTTGTTATGCTTGAACTTCAACATTTTGTACCCTGAGGACAATAACTTTAGTTTTCACTTGCAATTCCAAATTCTAATCAAAATCTGTAGCAGAGATATACATTTATAAACCCTTTTCCCATACAGTTTCGGGTTCAACTTAAGAACAAACCTACAGTCCCTATCTTGTACGTAACCCGGGGACTGCCTGTACATGTTTTGTTAGTCTTTAAGGTGCTACTAGATTAGAATATTAAATGTTATTCAGGCAGCTGTTCATTCCTGTCTCCTCTGTAGTGTAAAACTTAATGCCTAGTTTCTGTTTGTTGTTTTTTAAGTTTTTCCTGTTACAGACTAACTCTGCTACCCCTCTGAAGCATTTAACATTCTGTTTGTTCATGACAAAATCAGTTTTTCTGTTTCTGAAGTTTGAATGAGATTTTAGGTTCAAAGTTTTGTATTCCTGATTGTAATTTTCTTTTGTAGTTTGGCCTTTAAATTGCCAAGCTTATTTAAGAGTTTTTTAAATTTGCAGTTGTCTAAGTATAAAAATACATTGATTTTTTTTTTTTACCATACATCTTTCTCTTGTTCGTTTATAGCTGGTTTCATTGTTCTTTATTAAACATATCAGGAATAATTCAAATAAATTAAGTATTGTAGAAGGAGCTGTTTATTTGCCTGCAGGTGGATCATAGTCACTTTAAAACTAAAATATAAGAGTTGATAAGAAATAACACTGTACTTTGAAAACAAATTAATACAGAAGTGAGCTGACTAAAACTGAGAAGTTTTCAGGCCCACATTTTAACATCATGAGAGCCCTGATTGTGTAGGTGGGCAGGCTAACAATTTCTTCTGTGGTCTTGCTGATATCAATGGGACCACTCACATGCAAGATCAATATAAAGGGATAATTTTCAAATTGCATTTTCAATCTTAAAATGTTATACCAGTCATTATTACATGAAACAACTAAAGCAACTAGAACAGAAAAAGAATAGAGGATAAACATGGGTTTCTCTAGGTTTTTTATTTGTGCATTTGACAGTGCTTTGCATAGCAAGTGTTATTGTTTTGGTGATGATCAAGTTGCACTACTCTGGGGGGCGCTCATGGGCAGGCTTTTTAATATAGCCCAGAAGAAATTGAAACTGAAAGTGAGAATAAGCAGCAGGCTGGTGTGTGTTTGGAGAAATGGGAGGATAGAGAGTGAAGATGGGTCTGATCAGGTTCTGTTTGGTCTAAGGTTTGACCAAAGGATGTTTCTTTAACAATGTCAGGACTATTCATTTGCTTATTTAAAAATATTAAGTTTATCAGTGACCATTACACTTTTCTATGGAAAAATTTCCTGCCATTTTCTTCTTTCCCTTAGTAAACAGAGGGGAGAAAATACTTTTGAAAAAAAAAGTTGTGATGACTTCCAGAGGGAGAAAGTATCTATATGTGATAGTTCCTCTTTGCATAGCCATCTTTGTTCTTCTGCAAAATATTTGCAAGACTATGTGAAAAAGTGGGCAGAGTGTAGTGGACATGGAAGTGTGCTTAAACACTTTGATTCCTTCCCTGTCAACCTCATACTCAGATCAACTGAAATGAGAAAAATGTGGAAAGTTAACTCTTGTTTTGCTTTCTAGGCCTGATTCCCCACTGTACAAATCCAGTTTTATATCAGTGTAATTACTTTGGGATAAAACTCAAGTAAAAAAAGTAGTGAATCATAAGGATGTTAAAATGTGTTTGTGTAAACATGTAATTGCTGAATTTTTCAGAGGTTACACATTTATGTGGTGGTGGGGGGAGGGGGCCGGTAGGAGCCAGTGCTCCCTGAGAACATCGGCCTCCATTCACCCTCTCATCCCTGTACCAGAGTCAGCACCGTGGGGAGCCAGCTCCTGCCTGCACCCTTTTCCCCGTGCTGCTGCCTCTGTGGGGAGGCTCTGTGAGAGCTGGTACACATGGGACGCTGGCTTGAAAGCTGGCTCCCTGTGTGTACCAGCTTCCGCCTGCACAGTGCAGCTGAGAGAAAGTGTAGTTGCTGATTCTGCCATAGACTAGGAGGCAGAGGGAACTTTCAGATTCAGAGAGCATCAGCTGGAGTTCCTTAATGCAAGTGTCTAGGATCCCCTGGTAATGAGATCTTCTAAATCCTGATTAGTCCTGTGGATTTTGGGGTGAATGTCTGGGCTCTCTTTCTTTGCAACTGCAGTATTTTGTTCAAGTATTCCCCTTTGCATGCCTTAGGGATGCAATAGTGTAGTTGATTAACCGATAATCAAAAGCTTATAGATTAATGCTATAGACTAAACACATTTCCCCCACCCCTGCCGGTACATTTTTTAAGAGACTGGCCAGCAGCCCAGCTCAGTCCTGGGTCCAAGACCTACCCCCACTGCAGCTCTGCATTTAAAGTATATAAGGAACTAGGTGGGCAGGCAGCCTTGCTCAGTTCTGGCTCGCACCGGGTCCCGGAGCTCAGCCCCCACTCTAGAGAGGGGCTGCTGCTAACCCGTGCTTCTGCCTCTATATCCGGGGCAGCAGCATGGGGTGACTGGTAGCTGATCTGTGAGGGGAGCTGGTTTTTAAATTGGCTCCTCTTGTGGACCAGCTCCCATCTGGCACCCCAGTCTGCTGCCTCTGATACAGAGGCAGCAACGCAGAGTGGCAGGGGACTGGCTGCTGACCCTACCTCCAAGGACTATAGAATAGTTGAGTAACTAATAAGAATTCATGAGGCTAATCGACTATTCAATTACCGTAAAGTTGCGAGTATAGTGTGCACTTTTTTCCCCGTTTTTTTGACGTCCAAGTTGGGGTGCGCATTATCCATAGGAGTTTTTTTTCCAAAGTTTTAATTTGGTGGTTCTGCAGCACTTAATTAATCATTGACACCAGAGGTTAAGTTGATTTTTATTAGCATCGACTAGCAACTATACACACAGTTTCAAAAAGGTAAGTTAAACAAATTAAATCAAAACTGCAGCGCAA